ATACAATTTTTAAAAGCATTTCTTTCTGTTGGAGAAGAGTTTTTCACTGACTGATTTCTTTTTGTTTTCAAGTAAAGAAAAGCTTGAGAAAAGGAGTATTTGGGAAGGTGAGCAGGTATAGCTTATGAGCCTGAGGTAACAATAGTGATGAATATGGTGCCTCTTCTGTTGTAATGAGCCTGTACTGGGTTAATTAGATTTTTCAAAAAAAGTAAAGGAAAAATAGTGCAACAGTTTGGTTTTATAAGGAATCATCTAAAAGTCTCAGAGTGCTTTTATATCTGACATCTTTGTTTATTTTCATAACATTCCTAATAACTATGATACAAAAGGTTTAAATTAATTTCTTGTTTTGTAAGATACTGTCAGAGCCAAGAATAAGAATTTAATTGTCTACAAATTCATGTTAGATTTGTAGGCCAACCCTCTTGATTTCTGGGTAGCATCAACATTGGAAGTATGTGATAAAAATCTTTTATGTTTTATAGCATTTTCACAAATATTTTCTTATTTAGTATTCCCATCAGCCATGTGAATTAATTGGGATGGATATTATCTTTAGAGATGAAAAACAGGAGTGGCCACTATAGATAAAGTTAAAAGGCTAATGAAAAATGGGGAGATGGGAGACTCTCCTTAATATACAAAGAGCTATTACAAACCAATAATTAAAAGGTAAACATTTCAATAGAAAAATTGGCAAAAGACATGCATTAAAAAAATAAAAAGATCTCAATAACAATCAAATAAAGATTTTAAAATATTTTTTCTCCTCAAAATGAATAGAGATAAAAGAAAAATAATATGTAGTACTGACAAAGATACATGGAAATAGAAACATTGATATTTTTCTGGAAGGGATGTCAGTTGGAAAAACCTTTCTGAAGGAAAATTTGGAAATATATTAAAACTTTAAATATGTTCATAATACTATGACCTAGTAACTTCATTCTAATAATTTATATTTATATTTAATATTCAGAGAAACATAACAATTTATGCCAAATGATATTAATATCAGCATTTTTATGAGTTCAGCAAAAGGTGGCTCAAATGACATATAAGGAAATGGAATAAGCTGCCATTAAAAAACCAAGTTAAAGAATTAGCTGAAAGCAGAAAGAAAATCCCACTACCCAATATAAAATTAAAAAGCATGATTCAAAAAAAATACAGAGAAATATGCACACTCATACACCTTACAAACAGGTGAATTCTGAAAGACTGTTAGTAAGACAAAGCTAGCTAAGAGTAATTTAAGCTTAGAAAGACACATTTCCACCAAAAAGGGGTTTGATGGTTCTTCAAAGCTTTAAAAGTAGGTAGCATTCTCATCTCCTTGCTGATACCCATTCTACTGGATTTCTTTATCCAAAGTAGACCAGTTCATGTAAACTGAAAGTTGGTCAAGGCGGCCTTTAGTGGGCTTTGCCAAGTGTCATAAAGCAGTGCTTAGGAGCTCCCATGAGGAATTTGATGTGCGTAATCTAGCAGATCGCGAATCTACGGCACTATCACTGGTGTTCAGCAAAGGTTTCAGAACGGGAACTTTCACCACACCTGGCTTTTACACGCTTGAACACATTTTTAGCCCTTACCTGAATGAATATTTGGGTTGTAGGCATTCAAAGTTGATGCCAGTTCTCTAATCACACACTCCAAATTATTTCCATTTCTTGGATTACTTTTCCTCATTTCTTGCTGTTCATTGCTTAGACCCAGCCAGCATTTTCACACGTTTTGAATCTCTCTTTCTCTTTCAGAATCACCCCTATTGACTAATGCTCCATCTCTTACCCACGTACAACACTGGTGATTTTTCTTACCACATTCAATTTGTTAATCTCCTTTATTTTCATCATAATCATAAGCGTCTTCTCAATAGCACATTCAACATTCTCATTGCTTTTGCAATTATCAGACATACTGGGATTAATAATGTTGCAAAACACCCCCAATTAAATACAGCAAACCTGCTGGTGACAGAAAACTAGTTGGCGAAGGCTAAAACAACCACATCCAACTGCTGTTGCTGTCTGTTGGGGGCAGGCAAAGCTGAAACACTTTTGCTTTTGGAGCAAATTATTTTTCATCTCAATGAAAGTTCACAGGTGGCCAAACTGCCAAAGAATCCTTGCCTTTTCAACCACCATGGTGCTATTTTGGTGAAGTACATTTGTGACAATAGTCTTCAAATCACATATAAATATGTAGTCAACCAAAACTATTTTTAGATAGCTCAGTTGGTTTGGGTTGTCTTAATGTGGCTGAGGTCACGGGTGTGACCTCTCTGTGGGTTATTTAACACACGGAGAAAAACTGTGTCACTCAGGTAGTCTATACCTATATCCAGCCATCTCATAAATGCACACTCTTCAGGGGCCCAGATAGAGTATTTGTTGGGACAGTCATCTCATTTCAGTACAGTCCATGTAGGACAATGCAGTTACCAACCCTCAGAACAATGTGTGACCCTGGAATCTTCAAACTGAAAACCTCAACTAGCCATTAATATGACAGAAGACGCCTTAGCCATACGTTCAAATTTTTAAAAAATCTATCTATAAGCACAGGTTGGATCACAATGGTCTCCAAATGTAAAATACTAAGGAAAGTCAAAAAAAGGGGCTCATTTTTCTAATTGAAATCATTAGAAAAATAGAGGGTGGCACCTGATTTACCTCTACTCCCAGGGACACGATGACAATTAATTCCTATGGAGTTAGTATTCTGAGATTTGCCAAATAGCAAGTCAATGTCACTAGAGAATGTTACACATTTGCCTAAGCATAGAAGGCTATGGATTCACAACTCAGTTTCTGGCCTCAAACGCAATTTTCTCCCTCTGTTTTCAGGATACGCTCCTCCCTCCAACGCCAGGGCTGCAGGCATTTCTCTAAATAACACTGCATCCCTGGCCGCCTAGCTCCATTTGAACGTTTGCAGCAGGGCTCCTTTGAGGTCTGCCCCCAACTGCCTCCTCTCTCCCAGGCTTGTACTTCGTCTGTCTGAGTCAGCCATGAGTCACCTCACTCATTAGCGGAACTCAGAATGCTTCTCCATCCTCTGGATCCCTTTTGTCTCCCTTCTTGTAACTGGTTTCCTGGCAGCCTAAGGTCTGTGGCCAATTGAAGCTAGGGGCTGGGTTGCTACTAAGATGGTCTGCTCAGTAAAGAGGCTGGCAGACAGCAAGTAGAATTAAAATGATAATGACATTGATGATGATGGTGCATATTGTTGCTTCAGAATTAATTTAATGGCCCGATTTGGAGCCTCTGCCTGTGTCAGTTCATAGGACAGCACAGGGTCCTTAATTCTCGGTCCCTTCTTTCTCTTCCTTGTTTCTTCTTTCCCTCTTCACCATCACCCCCTTCAAACACATGCCCATATGGTACAAGCTGAAAGCTTACGGACTCTGCTGTCTAGAAAGGCAGGTGATAGAGCAAGGTCCATACGTTGGTGGGCACTTTCTTCTTCAGCCTTTTCAGATTTGTTATTCTCATTTTCACTCATTTGCTTTTACATTCCCAGTATTTTCCCTTTTGTGAAAGGTAGACCAGAAAGGACAAAGAGAAGGATTTACGCCTTGCAGGTGCCTCCTGGGTATATAAAGAAGCCTAGTGAAATAATATTTATAAGAATCTCTAAATTCACTGTAGAAAGTGTCAATATCAAATGGCATTATTAATTCATTAATCTTACTTAAAGCCCTTTATAAAATGGTTGATATTTTACTCAGGTGAATAGTGACTAGTTTTCAGTAAGTCCAATGATTTACTTTTGAAAGGGACCCCAGAGATCATCCTGTCCAGGCTTTCATTCAGTCAGCAGACATTGACCAAGCTCCTACAATGAGCAAACCCTGAGCCAGGCCCCCTAGGGCAGCGTTTCTCAAGCTCCACTGTGCCTATATGTCTCCTGGAAAGCTTGCTAAATGCCGATTCTGGTTCAAGAGGCCTGGAGTGGGGCTCGAGGTTCTGCATTTCTGTAATGCTGCCGACTGCAGACAACACTTTGAGTAACAAGACTATAGGGGCTCTGCACAGGGCCAGACAAGGCTTGACTCCATTCTCGAGGAACATCAGAGGGCCCACAGGCCCTGTGATGCTACCCTATGCATTCCTCCTCCTCAGTTGCTGCTGTTTCCAGAGGCCCAGACAATGCCATGCGACTCTGTTCTTCCCAGTGCTCTTGGCTTTCTCACATCTTCATTCACAGTGGAGGGTGTTAAAATTGCAAGATTCAGGTTTGGGATTAGGGCAGGAAGAAAGCCCATTTTTCTTCATCCTCAGCTAGGAGGCTTAGCCTAGACCATCTTATCAGAGAACTCTGAACTCACTTTTTAGGCAGAGCCTTTCTTTGATGGCTACAGAGATCTCCTTTTATGACTTGTTAGTTTGTATCCTTTTCCAACTTTTCCATTGAGGTGTCTGTCTTTTAATTATTGAGTTGTAATAGCTCTTTATTGAAATATTAAGGGGAATCTCTTTTCCCCCAATAAAGTCTATTTTTCAGTCTTTTAATTTTGGAGTTAGGAATCTTATACTCTAGGCTAACATTGATTTTCTGCTAATCTGAGCAAGCCTCACGACCTGTCATGCCATGGTTCCTTCACCTATAAATGGGGGCAGTAAAGACAACGTATCTCAGGAAATTGCTGAGTGTGTAAAAGAGAAAGTACATGGGGGGCAGTGCTGTGCAAATATAGACGTGGGTGCTTGTTTGCAGAGCTTACGTTAAGCTGACAGTATTATGGAACTCAGTGTGGGACATAGCTCACTGGTGTTAACAAGTACCAGTTGTGTTTTGTTTTGAGTTTGGTTTTGGTTAAACAAAGATTGGTTGAGTACCTCAAGCACTGTGAGTGCTGTCCCAGGTTTTGGCAGTATTAAAACATAAAGTAGAGTTAGAAGCTGCCTATTAAGAACTTTCTGTGTGTACAAGTGCTTGCGATTTCTGTTCTCCTTGTGCCTCCCGACTACCACTTTCCAAGTCGTCAACAGACAAGATCTGCCGGTCCTAATCTGTCCAACTAAGACACTGCCTCAGTACCGAGGGAGATGACCCAGTTGTTGCTTGGTCTCTACATTTGCTGTCTCGTTTCTACTAGAACCTTATACTTGTTAAAACTATTTATTTATATAGTAGAAGTTATAGGAGTAATAGTATTCCAATTTAGACAGATAGGTTTTTGTTTAGCTTTGAGAAATAAAAAATTTGTACTTTCCCCTCATCTACGATGATGTTTAATGCCTTTAAGTTCTTTCCACTACTGCCTGTAAAAAGAAAAGAATATAACCAACCATTAATAGTAAACTTGAAATGTCTGAAGACAATGTGTTTTGCCTCTAATTGGTATTTGTTTTTTAATAGTCAAAGGAAAGAACCTCTAATGGCAAAATTTTAGCTATCATCCAGGTAGAGAATACTCCGCCACTCTCACCAGTTGCCCTGTTATTCTTCCAACACATAAAACTGCCTTATGGGTCCCTACACTGAGTGTAGATAAAACAAAAAAAAAGTCAATATTATTGAATTCCATCCATTTGCCAAGCACTGTGCTAAGTGCTTTCACATACACTTTCTCATCTAATGGATCTTTTGCTTTCTTACTGCAAGGAAGAAAGTGAGATTGTGCCTGTGCTTTGTTACCGCCTCTTCTAGAGTCCTTACTCCTCTCTGTCTTTGAAAGCCCAACACTGGTAGCAAGGGAACTCAGTTTGAGGCAAAAGCCATGGTTTTTTTGTCTTATCCAGGTCCCCAGCAAAAAGTTGGTTGGTTTCTCATTTTGGGAAGGTGAGAGGTGTGTTAATTTAGGAAAAAGTGAATGGGACAGCATTGAAGGCTGGGGGCTCTTTAACACTACGTACCCACATGGGTGGACACCCACCTCTGGTGAGAGGTCTCTTTTTCTGGCTTCTTTCCCAGATAATCCATTGAAATCTCTGGGGGAAAAGGTCCATATACACTCAACTCCTCCTTTGATTTATTTCTTTATCTATGAACACAGATCTCTTACCACTTCCGTCACTCCCCCCACCCCCCACCAAAATACTTCTCCTGGAGAAACATGACAGATCTTGTGTATTCCTGAGATTATCTGCCATTTTCTCCTCTTACAACGATTCCAAATCTTGGGTTCCACTAAGAAAAACATAGCCTGGGTGACACTGTATAATCAGTGAGGAAGGAATCTTCCCTGGGCAATGAGAGGAGGGCTGACTCACTATCTCAGCTCTTAGGAATGGCTCTCCAGCTGCTGACAGAGGCCACACGGGTTCAGCCACAGGCCAGCAGGGACCTCCCCAGAGACTAACAAAAAGGAGGCAACCAGAACTAGCCAGAGCTGAGCTGGGGCAACTGACCCATTTGTAGAAGTGCCCCTAAGGACAATGGCCAGCAGTCCAAGTTGCAGTGTCCTGGCGGTGTAGCAAACTCATAGCTGGTCCAATCTGGTGGATAAATGGTGCCTGACAAGAGAAGACTCTGGAAAAGAATATACTTATAATCAGCATATGGTGACATTTTTATTCCAGAGGCTTATTCTTCATTCTTTCACTTATACAACAGACATTTGAGTGAATGTGCTAGGCACTGAGCTAGAGTTGGCCCACTCTGCCCTTGGGGAGTTGACAGTTCAGCAGAAAGGCAGAAAGGGAATAAACACAGGAGCTCTAGAATTCAGAGGAGGAGCTTAAGATTCGGGAGTTGGGAAAGCTTTCCCGGGAACGTGTGAAAGGCTTATACAGAAGGAGGGGAAGAAGGACACTGCAGGTGGAGGAGGCAGCAATGCAAAGTCCCAGTAGCGAGAGAGAACAGGCGGCTCATTGGAGCAGTAAAGTGGTTTGGTGTGGCTGAGGTCAGAACATGCAGGAAAAGTGGCAAGAGATAATCCTGGAGAGGTGAGCAGGGATCAGATTATGAAGGTGTAATCTTATGTGTCATGTGAGCAGGCTGAAATCAATCCTGAGAACAACGGGAAATGCTGACTGACTTTCTGTGGGAGAAGGACATGTCGGGTCTGCTGTTTTAGAAAGTTTTCTCACTAGTTGTCATGTGGAGAGTGGATGCACGGAAAGCAAGCATGGAAGTAGGAAGACCAGGTTGGAGGATCTTGCGGTAATTGAAAAAGGAAATGACGTGGCCTGAACCATAGCAGAGGTAATAGGGATGCAGAGAAAGATGAGTTTGAGAGATACAAAGGCGGTTGCACCAACTGTCCCTGGTGATCAACCACAGGTGGGGTCTGAAGAGCTCAGAATGGCTCTCACCTTTGTGGGTGGGGGGAGATGATGGGAGGAAACGGCTTGCTGGAAGCAGATGATGAGTTCAGGTTGAAGCAGGAACCCAGGGCAGAAACCCGGCCGCTGGCCTGAATATCAGTGGTGGAAGGTCAGGGCAACTCAGTGGTGCTAGGGACTTCCCAGGTGTACCCCAAAAGAAGTTTAAGGATAATTCCAGACCCCACTGGCTAGAGAGCATGGGGCTCCTAACACAAGCTCCTACTAAGAAGCCTGGCTTATTAAGTCTGAATCTGTGCAGGACTGAGGCTGCAGATGAGAGGTCTTCAGAACCTGCAGCCAAGCAGGGCCTGACAAGCTGTTTCCATGGAGACGTGGTGTGCGCAGGAGGGAGTGAGTAGGAAGGCTGATCCATCGCAGAGCCTTGGGTCACAAGGCTGTGGCAGGCTAACAGATAAACAGGGAAAAGACATAGTCAATCAGAAAAGGATGTTCAAAACTATTGGCAGTTAATTGGGGTTGTACCGTCATAATTCTAGATTAAGTCTAACAATTTAGAAGGATTATGGTAAGCCACTTAATGATCCTCCTAGTTATTTCAGGTACCACTTAATGAGGGCACAAGAAAGTGGATGCCAACTCAGGCTAACTGTAAATGTACATACACCCATCTTAAGCCCTCCTGCATCCCTGGACTCTAAGTAGCTGCATATTATTTCCAAGTTCCTGGAGAAACAGGCAGACACGGGAAGTTAAAATTTTTTTTTTCATTTGCCATGCTGATGGCAGTAATACTCAGGAAACCTTTGGGACTCTTTGGGAAACTCAGGTGCTGTCAAAGCCCCAGATTAGATGGCATTATTAAACAATCTGAGGAACATTCTGCACAGAGAGCCAGCAGCAGTGGGGCCCCAAGTGGGTTTTGGGTTTTGTGTGTGTGTGTGTGTGCAGTAAAATATACATAACATGAAGTTTACCATTTTGGCCATTTTTAAATTTACATTGTAAATGTACAATTCAGTGGCATTAGGTATATTCATAATCTCATGTAACCATCACCGCTATCTGTTTCTAAAACTTTACCATCATCCAAAACAAAAACTCTAGAACTATCAAGCAGTAACTCCCCATTGGGCTCCAAATTTTTAAACAACTTTACTGTGCTGTGAAAACTGGCTACAAGGCAGCACAATGGTTTGGTTGCTACCAGTAAAACAACTGGGTTACTCCTGCTTTGGTCAGTTGCTCTCAGTTCAGACCTGGACTTTTTTGGCCAAGAATCCTGGTCCTGTGGGTGAGCTTGTTAGACCTAATCTCGGGAGGAAGACTGATTTTAACCGCCTTAATGACTGATGGGACTTATTAACCTTGATCTCCAGGGTATTCAAATGGCTTGTGGCAGTGCTTATTAAGAAGTCAGTAAAAATTAAGTCAGGGCCACAGGCCCTCATAAAGATCCAACTGGAGGCAAACTTTGTTCCAAAGATAGTTTGGAGATGAATTGTTTAGGAACCAACTACATTTTAAGTAACCAAAAACGATAGTGCTTGGGGAGGATAAGAAATAATTCTCACTTAGAACAGTAGACTATGACCAAAAGATCAGAGCTGGAAATTCTAAGCTTCTTACTTCCTTTTCTTTCACAAATTAAAACATTAGTGAGAGTAGGAATAAGCCTTTGTGACTTTGTTTCCCCATCCAACAAGTTCAGGGTGTTTAGAACATGGTGCTTATAGGCCAAGGCTCAGTCTGGAGTTCACAGATCAAAAGCAGGAATAACTCTCAAAGCCCAGACAGATACTTCCCAGATGAATGATGTCAGTCACAAGAGATGGCAGGATGACAAAGGAATGGGGAAGATTTAGTGGAAATTACTGCATTATAAACACAATTTAAACCACATGCTCTGTTTGGGGGATCAGTAGTGAGACAAATACTTTAACACAAATACTGGAACCAGAGCCCAGAGGAAGTTGACTGGCTTACTCAAGTTCACCTAGAAAACCAGGGAGAGAGCTAAGAATTAGTACCTTTGTCTCCTGATACCTGGTTTAGTGGTTTATTTTTATCAGTATCTACTGGTATTCCATGCTTGGAATGCACAAGGGTGGTGGGTTGTCAGAGTCTTTCTATAAAGTTTTCATTTTGCTCAAGGGGGATCAATCAGTACCTTTATCTCCAAATTCACCTGCAATTTAGTCTTTGTGTTGCAATTATTTTCCATCAGAACCCAAATTCTAGCAGAAGTTCAGAAGAAGTTCATATTGTTAGCAGTCAAGAAAAGGTTTACTGCTATTAAGATCTTGTTAGGGGACAATTTCCAGAATGGTGGTTTGAGGAGTTCCACAGACCCACTCCTCAACAAAACAATCATACTTGGTGAAATTATTTTTAAAACAACCATTTAAAGTTATTGTTCCACAAAGGGAGATGAAAACCAAGAAGATCAAGTCTACTACCCCCAGTCAGTGGCATGCTTGTTAAGAAGGGGTATTACTCCAAGAGAAGTGGGTCACTGTCCCTGCCCCCACTTCAAGAGCAGAACCTTAGAGATTTTGCCCAGGAGAAGAGACAGATGATAAGAACAGAGAACTCTGAAGATCTCCACAAGGGAACTGACTTTATTTGGAACAGAGTATGGGGAAATTCAAGCTGAAAGGAGTTGTGGAAAACAATAGAGATTTTGGTGATAAGCAATTAAGAGGAAGCTGGTAGCTCCATGAGAGCAACAAGCTAGACTGTAGGCCAGCTAGTTTACCAGAGAGAACCAGGAAAAAAGACAGCTTAGAAGAGCCCTCTAGGGGTCAGAAAAAATCTCAAGGAGTGGCCTTGAAATCTATCTCTGCAGAGGGGCTTACATTTAATTGGATCAGACTGTGGAGCAATTTATGCTACAGGGCATTGTTGAAAACAATAGAGTGATTGGCTATCAACTAATGGAGCCTAATAACTAGGCATGAGACCAGCAGGGACAGACAACTTAACAGAGAGATCAGGAATAGAGACAGTCAAAGAGACCTGTGTTAAAATCACTCTCATCCCAGAATGACTGTGCATATGACCAAGCATGCACCTTCTGAGGAGCATCATCAGAAGTTTCACACTTCAGGGAAAGAGACTTTACTAAAATAATCTAGCTAAGTCACTAAGGAAATAAAAAAGCAAACTACAACAATGACCTCATAAACTTAAAAATAAATGATAAGGTTGAGGGGATCAGTATCCAGAGTTGCTACAGTATATTATCTAAAATGTCTAGTTTTAAACAAAAAAAATTATGAGACATGCAAAGAAACAGGAAGTGTGATGTGACCCATAGAAAGGAGGAAGAAAGCAGTCAATGGAAACTCCTTGTGAGAGGGCCCAGATATCCAATTTAGCAAAGACTTCAAAGCAGCTATTATCACATGTTCAAATAACTAAAGGAAGCCATGCTTAAAGAAGCAAAAGAAGGTATGATGACAATGTCTCATAAGATAATCAACAAACAGATAGAAATTATTTTTTAAAAAGAACCTGATGGATTTTCTGAAATTGAAAAATACAATAACAGAAAAAAATTCACTAGAGGGGCTCAATAGTATAAGAAAGAGAAAGAATCAGCAAACTTGAAAATAAATAGATAGATATTATTTGATCTCAAGAACAGAGAGAAAGAAGAATAAAGAAATATAAATAGAAAATCAGGGAAATATGGGATACCATCAAGTACATCAACATATGCATAATGGGATTACCAGAAGAAGAGGAGAGAGAGTGAGGAGCAGAAAAAACATTTGAAGAAATAATGGCTGAAAACTTCTGAAATGTAATGAAAAATATTAATCTATACATCCAAGAAGGTCATCTAACTCCAAGTAGAATAAACACAAAGACATCCACATCTAGACATATCATAGTAAAAATGTTGAAAGAGAAAGTTAAAGAGAAAATCTTGAAAACAGCAGGAAAAAAACCAACTTATCACATACAAGGGAATCCAAATAAGATTAACAACTGACTTTTCACCAGAAACAATGGGGGCCAGAAGGCAATGAGACGGCATATTCAAAGTGCTGGGGAGGAAAAACCATGTCAACTAAGAATCTTTTGTTCAGTAAAACTCTCTCTCAAAAATGAAAGTGAAATAAAGATGTTCCCGGATAAGCAAAATCTGAAAGAATTCATTGCTAGCTGGCTAGAGTTACAAAAAACAAGAAAATTCCTCAGGCTGAACACAAGTGGCCCCAGTCAGTAATTCAAATCCACACAAAAAAACAAAGAGCACTCACTAAATCTAATTACGTAATTATAAAAGCCCATGTATCAATTCATATTTCTTTTCTTTTATTCTCTTAAATGATATAAAAAGCAATTATATAAAAGAATATATTTGACAATGACAGCACAAAGGAGGTTGGTGGGACAAAGCTGTATTAGAGTAAGAAATGAGTTATAAGATGGTAACTCAAATCCACAGAAGCCAATGAAGAGAACCAGAAATGGTAAGTAAGGAGGGTGACATAAACTCTAAATATAACTTGCTTTCCTTTCTTTTCTCAACTTTCTAAAAAGACATAAAATCATATTAAGTAATAATTATAACAATGTGTTATTCATTTTGTAATAAAACCATAAACAAACTAGACCTAACAAACATCTATAAAATGCTCCAACCACCACCAGCAGAATACATATTCTTCTCAGGAATATGGACTATTCTCCAGGACAGACTATACTCTAGGTCATAAAACAAGTCCCAATAAATTTAAAAGATTTGAAATTATACAAAACATGACTTCTGACCACAATGGAAAGAAATTAGAATCAATAAGACAAGGAAATTTGATAAATTCACAAATATGTGGATATTAAACAATTCACTCCTAAATAACCAATAGGTAAAAGAAGAAATTACAAGGGAAATTAGAAAATACTTTAAGATGAATAAAAATAGAAGCAAAACATACCAAAATTTATGGAATGTATCAAAGCAGTGCTTAGAGGGAAATTTACTGTTAGATGCCTATATTGAAACAAAAAGAAAGAAAGAAAAAGAAAGATCTCACATCAATAACCTATCCTTCCAGTTTAAGAAACTAGAAAAAGGAAGGCAAACTAAACTCAAATCAAGCAGATGGAAGGAAATAGTAGATTAGAGTGGAAATTAATTAAACAAAGGATCAGAAAAACAATAGAGAAAATGAACAAAATGAAAAGTTGCTTCTTTAAAAGATCAACAAAATTGACAAACCTTTAGCTAGATTGATCAAGAAACAAAAGAGAGAAGACTCAAATTCCTAAAATCAAAAACAAAAGAGGAGACATTACTACTGATCTGAAAAAAATGAAAAGGATTATGGGGCAAACTTCCTCAACAAAAAAAAAAGAAAGAAAGAAAAGCATTATACTATGGGGCCGGCTCCATGGCCGAGTGGTTAAGTTCCTGCGCTCTGCTCCAGTGGTTA